AGGGGGAGTTGTAAGGAAGAAGATTAAAAACGAATTTAAGATTTTTTTGTTTTTTTGGTTTTTTCGCTTAGGCGCTCTGATATCATGTGACAATATATATGGTCACAGAGAATTGCCAGGTGAACCATGAACAGAAAGGGAGAAAAAGGACGAGAAGCGCGGAGTTTCGCTGGCTCGTCAGGAGGCTGAACCCTTAACAGTCTGCTTCACGTCTGGTCCTTGTGAGCAATTTTGCCTCAGTTCCCAGGAAACGCTGAGGAAGGATGTATTTGTATGTTTATTTCTTGTCCGTTCGATGCAGTGGCCATCTCTTTTTATTGCCCTGAGTTGCTTAGCATGTCTGTGTAATGGCGTTCCCTCTGTTGTGTTGCATTCGTTGTGACCTGTTGATCCTTGAATCGGCACTTCTTCATCTATGAATGCCGCTAGATGTGTGAAGGTTAAATGCATTGTGTGTGGATTTATTGAAGATGAAACGGGTTATTTAAGAGAAATAATCCTCAGCAAATCATCTTCAGCCTCTGTTGCTGTAAATCTACCGTGTTCCTGTCTTCTTGCCTCCAGTGATGTTGGCTTTCTTTTTTCTACTTGATGATGAAGAGACTTCTGATTTCGAGAATGGGAATGGAAGGGTATTCATAGCTAATGTGCACAGGTCCTCGTGCCCTGCCTGCCCGTTCCCTCTCTGAACCCTCTGGCTGCACTCCCCTGCCTCGTCCCTGGTCTCCGTGCTGCCTGTCCTGCCTTCCTCCCTGTCTCTGCCTCTGCCCCCATCCCTGCCTATCCCCCTCCTGTCCTCCCTTCCTCCCCCTCTCCCTTCCCGCCGCCCGCCACACCTTTCTTCCCCCTCCCGCCACACCTACCTCTTCGAATCCTCCATCCCTACCTGTCCCCTTACCTGCGTCTACCCATCCCTGTCTTTCCTTCCGTCCCTGCCTCTATCATCCTTGTTGCTCCTCCCATCCCTGCCTCTTTCCCCTGTCCCTGCAACTCCCAGACTTCCCCACGTATCACCTCCTATCCTTGTCTTTCCCCCCAACCCCTTGTCACCATCCCCACGCCTCTCCCCCATGACTGCGTCTCTCCAATTCCTGTGTGTTGCACGTCCTTGCGACTCTCTTGTTCCTGCAGCTCCCCTCTGCACCTATAACTGCCACTTCCCCTAGTCCCTACATCTCCCCACAACCCTCTGTCTCCCCCCATCCCTGTCAATGCCCCTGTCCCTGCATCTCCCCTCCGTATCTGCATCTGACACCCGTCCCTTCGGCTCCTGCGGGTCTCCATGTCTCCTGCTGACCTTCCATCTCCCCTGGTTCCAGGCTCTCGCCTGATTCCGTGTCTCCTCTAGTTCCTACCTCTCCCACTGTTCCTGTCCTCCCCCTCCCTGCGTCTCCCACCCGACCTCTCTACCCCCGAGGCGCTGTGTCTCTCTCCTGTCCCTGTGTTACCCCCTGTATGCCTGTGGCTCCCCTGGTCTCTGCATCTCCTGGTGGTTCTTGCGTCTTCCCCTGTCCTTGCGCCTCATCTGACTCCCGCCTCTCCCCCTGTCTCTGCCTCTCCGCTGTCCTGCATCTCCTCCCCATCTCTGCTGCCCGTTCCCTATGCCTGTGGCTCCCCTGGTCTCTGCATCTCCTCGTGGTTCCTGCGTCTTCCCCTGTCCTTGCGCCTCATCTGATTCCTGCCTCTCCCCCTGTCTCCGCCTCTCCGCTGTCCTGCTTCCCCTCCCCATCTCTGCTGCCCGTTCCCTTCCCTCCTCTGCCCCCCCATTGTTTTGCTCCCGCTGTGCTCTCCCTATTCACTTTTGTGAATTTGGTGTGATGGATTGGTTTGTAGCGATTGCAGCAAAAAAAATTCCGTCAAATGTAGGTGGTTTGTTTAACCATGTTAGTTTACTTTCATAAGCTTTCTTATAGTGAGAGATGAGCTCGCTAGCCGTTTGGGGTGCCAAAACAAAACCCTCGTCAGCTGTGCCCCCATCAGTGTCACACATGCGAGTGTCCTGCTATTGTCGATACTCTCTGTGTTTGACAACAATGTGAGCACCCCTGTTTTTTCCCCCAATTGCTTGTTTGGCAGAACTTTGAGCTTTGAGATGTATTCAATAATATTGCAAAAAGGAAGAAAGAAATCTATGTGGTTAAGTGGGCTTTGGCGTGAGGCAGCATAGGTACAGAAGGCAATGGGCATCATATCAAGTTGCACTCTGCGGGCTCTGTTCCATGTTACAGCCTGTATTTGATTTGTGATTTTGAGATGTCGTTAACAATGCTGCGGAAAGAAAATCTAAAGAAAGCAATTCGGTTCAGTGGTCTTTGCCATGAGGCGGCATGTGTACAGAAAGCAATAGGCATCATATTGAGTTGCACTCTGCGTGTTCTGTTCCATGTTACGGCCTGAATTGCATTTTGTTTTGTGATGTTTCTGTCGGTTTGAACCGACCTGAAGAGTATGCGTAAGGCCTCCAAGGCCCACATGTCTATGGGAACACAAAGGAAGGAGAACGTCGATTGTCGTCCCTTTGACAAGATCTGTGCCAGTATGAAGGGCCTCCGAATCCACAGAAGCAAAATGCCCATGGAGAAGCACCAAAGGGGGGGGGAAGCAGACTGGGGAGTAGGTGGGCGAGGCCGAGGGCGCTAAAGAATTGATGAGGGAGGAGGATGTGTGGGAGGTGGTGGCTGGAGTCAGATGGGAATAGTCGATACGACTTGCGGAGACCTCCTCAGTGAGCTTTGCAGGCAGGCATAGGGCTGGCCGAAAGTGGAAATGTCGTTCCCCGTTGGCCGTGACAGAAATCCAGCGCTGAACGAGGACAGAAAACTTTGAAGAAAGGCCTGCCCAGTGATTCTTACAAGCACTCGGGACCTGAGGCGCTGCTTGCCCCCCCCCTCCCCCGCCCCCGCCTTTTCAATGACCCTCTATAAGTGACGCCGATCCGATGGCTCCGATTGAAGAGGGACGTTCCTCGCAGTGCAGGAGAAAGCGGCATCAGCAAGGCCAAGGTGAGGGGGGCAAACGCCCTCACATGGGTGCCGATGCAGGGACCAGGTCACCGGGCGGGCTCTCTCAATGGGCGCCTCAGTTGCATTGGCTGCGGCGGTTTCTTTCAACTCGTTCGAGCATGGAGATTGACTCAACACGGTACTGAAGGGTTGTTTAGTATTGGTTGCCATTGTGGATTTCGCCATAGCACGCACAGCCCTATGCGACCTGTGAACACGCGGCAGCTCTCGAGAGGAAGCATCAGGAACAGAGTGACCGGAGCGGATTGACACACCCTCGTTGAGGTTTCGTATGATCGGAAGCCTCATAGGACAAGGTAGCACAGGTATGTTTTGGATAGGCCGCATGCATGTCTATCGAGTGGTGGTCGTGGGGGGGTTGGCATATGCTCACATGACGAGATGTGGGGGAGGCTGGCCAGGGATAGCAATGACTCAGGCCCTGGTTGTTAGGCAATAACCCGACTCGTCCGACATTGTCTACCCCCCCTGGGCAACACTGATAGATGACTAACCGTCGTAACAATCTTGTCTGTTCCCGTTCGGTGGTACAGATAGATCATAGCTCACTGTATTCTGACCATATGGAGTTGTCTGAACCCTTCGCTGGCCCGGAGTTTGGCACCGAGATCTGGTTTGGTACTTTGATCTGGTGGGTTGATGATATTGCTTTGTACTGTCGGAAGTCCTATGGAAGATGCTGCCTGCATCGCCTCTGCGGCAGTGTGTTGGGTTGTTCCTCATCTCTCAAATGAAAGGAAAAGCAAATGAAAAAGTCGGTTGGCTGGCTGGCTGGCTAGCGGGAGGCGGAATCTGAAAACTGAAGTTGGCTGGAGTTCATGTTGAGCTTCCAACTTCCTTCCCCTGAGACTTAGCAAGGGAGCAAAAAGAGGAGAGGGGGGGGTGAGGGGGGGGGGGGAGAGGGAGGGAGTGCATTTTTGAAGCACAGGTTGTGAGTTTGGGCCTTTGGGCAAAGCAGTTTTCTTAAGCTCATTTTCAATTGTTTCTTTTACGTTTTCGTTTTGAAATTGAGATGTTGAGAAATTGAGGTCGTCATTTTCGGCCAAAGCACGATCTCCGAGTGTGACAAGGTGCCATCTTCGATTTGCTTCATCCTCTTCGTTTTTTTTTTTTTGGGTTTTGGCTCAACTTCTTAACCGCCTGTGTGTGCATTCGTGGCCCCCTTGTTATTTGCTCCCTTCTGTTCTGGAACCATCCCATGGTCCAACGGTCTGCACCTGTAATTGCCTCCCACTTGGCACCTCACTCTTGTGGTCCCTGCCCTCTCTCTTCCTCTCTCTCCCATTTTCCTTGGCTGAAACTAAAAGCTTTTTACGTCCGTGTCACCTCCTTCCACATCCCTCCATCCCCATTCCCTCTCTCTTCCCTCCCTCCCTCCTTTCCCACCACCCCTCTTCTTCTCTGAATGCCACACCTTTCTTACCCTGCAATCATATTGTACCCTCCACA